ATGCACAGGTACAGACATGCAGATACACAGGCACACTGACAACATACAGATACACACACTGACACACATGCAGATCGGTTAGTTTTGTCGACAAAATTTTAGTCAAGTTTAGTCGACTACATTTTTTGAGATTTAGTCGACTAAAACTAGACTAAAACAATGCAAATGACTAAAATATGACTAAACTAAAATGGCTGAATGACTAAAACTAAATTGAAATTTGCCGCCAAAATTAACACTGATGCAGATACACAGAAGTACACTAACACCATACAAATATACAGATACACATAGAAACACAGAAACACAAATACATGTATACACTGTCACATACATACAGACTCACATACAGATACACAGGTACAGACATGTAGATACACAGACACACACTGACAACATACAGATACACACACTGAGATGCATGCAGATACACACACAGACACTGAAACACATATAGATACATACAAACAGTGGCACACATACAGACACACATTGACACACAGATATACATGTACACACAGATAAAATGCACAAAGATCACATTACATATTTTTAGCCACCCCCCATACCTTTTTAATGCAGGAGGGTGGCTTCCCTGTGGTCCAGTGGCATCTGGCTGCGTGTGATGGGAGTCTGTTACAGGCTCTCTTCCGGTCCTGGCTCTTAGTCTGTCTCCCTCCTGTCTCTCTTTCGCGTGGTAACTTTGTATGCTGGGGGGAAATTACTTATACTCACTTCCTCCGAGCACCGCAGCATTACGCACCTGACTGGGCCTCTGATAAGAGATGTCCAGTGATGGGCCCCAAGGGCGTACCTAGAGCATTTTGCAACCGAGGCAGATCCTATATTTGGTCCTCCCCCCCCTCCCAACTTTAAAATGTAAAACACCCGCAACATTTGTTTAATGTTTTTACCACTGAGCAGTGTTAGTGTGTTTGAACGTAAGCATGTTTTTGTATGGAGTATGAGTGAGTGAATGTAGAGGTGTGTGTGTTTGTGTGTAGTTTTGGCATTTGAATTCAGGCGTGTATTTGTGTTTAGTGTCGTTTTTGAATGCAGTGGTGTATTTATATATGATGGTGGTGTTTTAATACAGAGGTGTGTTTGTATGTAGTGTTGACATTTGAATGCAGGGGTGTGTTTGTATGTAGTGTTGACGCTTGAATGCAGTGGTGTGTTTGTATGTAATGTTAACGTTAGAATCCAGGGGTGTATATGTGTGTAGTGTTGAAGAGATGCTGAGATGTATGCACATATATACAAACACACAGATACACACACAGACACAAACATGGGCACACATACAGATACACAGACACACACAGATACAGACACACATGCAGCTTCATAGACACAAACACTCAAACATACAGACAGACACACAAATACACACACTGATACATATACAGATACAAACAGACACATAGATTACAGACACATATGCAGCTACATGGGCTTACATAGACACAGACACTCACACACATACACAGACATACACACACACACAAATCACATGCTTCTACATAGACACAAACAGATGCACATAAATACTCTATTACAGAGCCCCCTTCCCCTCCAAAACCCCTGCCCAGCCTCTTAATAAAAAAGCAACAATAAGAAGGAAAGGCTACCTACATTAAAAAGAGTGATGTGGCCCAAATCCAATCGATAATGGAGCGAGCAGAAAGACAGCTCTGATCCTTCTGTGCCGCGCACTGTTAGAAGCACAATGAGGACGGCGCATGCCGATGTCAGTACATGGCGACGCACACCTCCCAGGCAAACAGCGATGGGCCCCCTCCTGGATATCAGCAATGGGCCAGAGGACTGCGCTGTTAATTAAGTGTGTGACAGTGCACACACAGAATAGCTGGTCGGCGGGCCCCTTTCCTCGGCCGGGCCCTCGGACCATGTCCAAAGTGCCTGACCGCTCAGTCTGCCCCTGGACACTAGGGACACTGGCTGGGAGGCATGGGGACACTGGGAGTCATGGAGACACTGTGTCCTTAGTGCCTCGGTGTCCCAATATGTCTACCTATGTCTCTCAGCGTCCCCATGTGTCTCAGTGTCCCCACGTCTCCCAGTGTCCCCTAGTGTCTCAGTGTCACCATGTGTCCCCTAGTGTCTCAATGTTCTCATGTCTCCCTTTCCCCTCATCCTTTCCCCTCATCCCTCACTTCCCTGAGCTGTAGGCTGTCTCTGCAGTCTGGGAGCTGCTGTCTGGACTCTCTGTGCTGTGTAGCTGCTCCCCCGCGGATCAGTGAATAGAGAGAGGCAGGGAGGGATATGCTGTAACTTCCTATCCCTGTCTCTCTCCATACACAGTGACCCCTACTGGCCGGTGCTGGTATTGCAGAGTAATCTCCCTTTATACTGAGAAAAATGTTTGCATTTGTATTGCCGGTATTACTGCAATACCATCATGGCCAGTCAGCCTCAAATACAGGCTGTGCCTTAAAATACCAGTCAGGTGGCAAACCTAAGAGTAGTGTGTTAAAAAATTATTATTATTTTTATAAATGGGCCTATTCAATGGGCCTGGAGCTGCAGCTCCATCAGCCCCTATGTTAATCCGGCCCTGACATCAACCCTGTTACATATCTTAGTATCATCAGCAAAAAGACATACCTTACCATCAAGACCTTCTGCAATATCATTAATAAAAATATTAAAGAGAATGGGTCCAAGTACAGATCCCTGAGGTACCCCACTGGTGACAAGCCCAAGCTTCAAATTTACTCCATTGACTACAACCCTCTGTTGCCTGTCACTCAGCCACTGCCTTACCCATTCCAATATTGGAATCCAAACTGAAAGATTGCAGTTTATTGATAAGCCTTCTATGTGCAACAGTGTCAAAAGCCTTACTAAAATCTAGTTAAGCAATGTCTACTGCACCACCCTGATCTATAATTTTAGTTACCCAGTCAAAAAAATCTATAAGATTAGTTTGGCATGATCTCCCTGAAGTAAACCCATGTTGTCTCTGATCTTGAAATCCATGTGTTTTTAGATGTTCAACAAGCCTATCCTTTAACATGGTTTCCATCACTTTCTCCACTACTGAAGTAAGGCTTACTGGCCTATAGTTTTTCCGACTCCTCCCTATTACCTTTCTTGTGAATGGGCACAACATTCGCTAACTTCCAATCTTCTGGGACTACTCCTGTTAACAATGATTGGTTAAATAAATCTGTTAATGGTTTTGCTAGTACACCACTAAGCTCATTTAATAGCTTTGGGTGTATTCCATCAGGTCCCATTGACTTATTTGTCTTTACTTTTGACAGTTGAAATAGAACCTCTTCCTCTGTAAACCCACGTGTAATAAATGACTCATTTATCCTTTTTCTTAACTTTCCTTCATTTTCATCTGTAAATACCAAACAAAAATATTCATTGAGGCAGTCAGCTAGACCTTTATCCTCTTCTACATACCTTCCTTCTTTTGTTTTTAATCTAACTAATCCTTGTTTTACCTTTCTTTTCTCATTTATGTATCTAAAATGAGAAAATAAATTTCTCATTTTAGATACATAAATGAGAAAATTGAATGTGCTATTTTCTCTTCTGTGTGTGATTTGGAAGCTCTTATAACTTGCTTAGCCTCTTTCTGCCTAATCTTATAGAGCATTCTGTCTTCCTCACTCTGGGTTTTTTTTAATTACTAAATGCTAACTTTTAGTTTTTTACTATTTTGGCCACATCTGCAGAGTACCACAGTGGTTTCTTGAATTTACTGACAAGCCTAATGCAATTTTCTGTTGCCTTCAGTAGTGCAACTTTTAAATAATCCCATTTCTCTTGGACTCCATTTAAATTGCTCCAGTCTGATAATGACTCCTTTACACATATTCTAATTTTAGAAAAGTCTGTTTTTCTAAAGTCTAAAACTTTTGTTTTTGTGTGGTGTGACTCAGTCACTGTTCTTATATTAAACCACACTGACTGATGATCACTGGATCCTAAACTTTCACCTACAGTAATATCTGATACCAAATCTCCATTTGTTAACACTAAATCTAGTATGGTCTCTTTACGAGTTGGCTCCTCAACGACTTGTTTTAGAGACAATCCCAGTAGGGAGTTTAGAATATGTGTGCTCCTGGCACAAGCAGCTATTTTTGTTTTCCAAATTACATCAGGAAGATTAAAGTCACCCATGATGATAACTTCCCCCTTCATTGTCATTTTAGCTATTTCCTCAACTAGTAGATTATCTAACTCTTCAATTTGTATATTCATGATTATTTCGCTTGTATCCTCAATACGTCTCTATGAGGAAAGTTCAATGTCTGCATGCAGAGAAAGGATTCACTAAATGGCAGTTCTGCACAGTTTGCAGCACTACCCCAGGAAGCACCTTTAGTAGCCATCTGAGGAGAGGCCAGTGAAGGTATCCCTAGGCTGTAATGTAAACACTGCATTTTCTCTGAAATTTCTCTGAAAAAGCCTGATTCTACTCGCCAGAACAACTACAATAAGCTGTAGTTGTTCTGGTGACTACTATAGTTTCCCTTTAATGTAGTTTTATTAAATTTTTTTACATTTTTTTTTGTCAATCTTTGTTTTATAGAGATGATAGCAAGATACAGACAAAAATAAACTTATACCAGGAAATATAGCGGCATGGTTAGCAAGAGTGATATACTGCATGTCAAACACAATCCTAGCTGATTTTTAACATTTTTTTTTTAATTCTTTATTTTTGAGTGCAGAGTAAGGTACATGCATATGCAGTTATTTGTTGAGTTCTATACATCACATTAAACCATTTGCATAGGTAATCGAGAGATGTTGCACTTTTGTTTTTTATAACACGAGAGGAACATGAGTGAGTCAAGATATGCTATAAACAGTGATAAACAAGGTTTAAGACAGTCGAGTATTATAGGGTGATGTGTCTAAGTTGTTTGGATTTTTACTGGCACGGTTCAAGAGGCCATATGCTTACAGCTTGCTTGGGTAGAGGAACTTTCTGTTGTGTAAACGTTGAAATAGCTAGTAACATGCTTTTAACAGTGCATGAGAGGTTAAGTAGATACGTGGTACACAAGCTTAAACAAATCGGTTCTATCACAAATATGGCACACTAGCTTAGTTAAAGATGTCTGAATCTGGGGTGCCAGGTTACTATATTGCAGGCTATGATAATATGCTAGCAAAATTATTATGAAATGCAAGTTGTAAATACCCGTGAGGCCAAGTTCTGTGGCAAAGATAACCAAGGCACCCCTACAGAAACATAACAGCTTAAAGCACATTAAAATGATGTGGCTTAATAGGAGCCTAGTGGGTGCTTCCTAACCGGGCTAGGTTAATCTGAGGACCTCTGGCTTTGAACTGGCTTTGAAAGAGAGACAGTCGAGGCGAGCAGGGTGACTGCTGCGTGGGGCTAAGATGTGTTATGATAACCTGTAAGATCTTGCTGAGTCCGTGTGTATGATGATCTAAGCTTATCCATAGTCCACAGTCCTTGGTGAAGTGGCCACTGAGACTGATTTCAACATTTAATCATGCAGTATTCTTGTCCCAGAAGCAGAACACTAGAGAAAATTGTTTAGTAGTATTTTTCTTTCACATTTTGCTGTTATGCAACATGCTAAACTACATTACCAAATTCAATAGTACAGGTGTTCCTATTTTGGGCCACTTTCAGAATTATCTCCACGATCTTTTGAAATAATCCAGAATTAAACATACCGTATATACTCGTGTATAAGTCGATCTCATGTATAAGTCGAGTGCAGTTTTGTGACCAACAATTGTGAAATATGCTATGCCTCATGGATAAGTCGAGGGTAAAACTTGGGGCTATGAAATTCTGTGATTTTTATAATTATATACACACACACTCATACAAACACACACTCTGCATTATATATACACGCACTCTGCATTATACACACACACACACACACTCATACAAACACACACTCTGCATTATATACACACACTCTGCATTATATACACACACACACACTCATACAAACATACACTCTGTATTATATACACACACTCTGTGTATATAATGCAGAGTGTGTGTTTGTGTAGTGTGTGTGAACTGGGTGGGGAGGGCATTTTTATTATTTTAATTTTTTTTATTTTAATATTATTTTTTTTTTATTATTTTAATTTTATTTTGTCCCCCCTCCCTGCTTGTTAACTGGTCAGGGAGGAGGGCTATCTTAATCCCTGGTGGTCCAGTGGCATGGGCTGTGAAGTGGGGGGGCCGGCAGGAAGCATTTACTTACCTTTCCTGCAGCTCCTGTCAGCTCCCTTCTCCTCCGTTCCGGTCAGCTCCACTGTAAGTCTCGCGGTCTGGTTGCCGCGCGGATCGTTGCCATGGCTCTGACGGCGCGGCTCTCTAAGTTGCCATAATACAGACAGTGACTCGAGTATAAGTCGAGTGGGGGTTTTTAAGCACAAAAAATGTGCTGAAAAACTAGACTTATACTCGAGTATATACTGTAGATATTTTTAAACTAACACATGTGCATTATTCACAAGTTTCAACAACTTCAAAATCTATTCCCTTTAAAGGGAAACTCCAGTGCCAGGAAAACAATCCGTTGTTCGAGTTTCAGCCAGAAGTCCATGAAGATGCGGTCCAGGTTGGACCCAGAGACGAGCCTGGTCCCCTGATTGCCTGGGAAACTCGTGGTCTCCGCCATTGTGGGTGGGCCTTTCATCTCTCTGACCATTCTCTCCGGCATAAGCACTGTGTCGGGGGGACCCCCTGGGGTGGACCGGGATCACCCCCACCGGTCCAAGGAGGGGGTTGCAGGGTGCCCGTTCCTAGCTTTTAGTCTCCGGATGGCTCCAGGTTGGGAGTTCGGCCGCCTCTCCCGCCCGGCACATACCAGGCCGCATGCCCTCGTGGGTATATTCTGCTGGCCATCATCCGCTCATGGGCCACTTTACCGGTTCACCGTGGGGACTTGGAGGTGGAGTTGCTTGGGGTCTCGTGTGGTGAGTTAAAGAGTGCCTTTTTAGGCTTTTTTTCGATTTTCATTGGGAGCTCTAGTGAGGCACATCTTCCCTCCATGGCAGTCAGGCCCCGCCCCCTTGTCTCATGTTTTAAAGAAAACTAAATCAGTTAGGAAGAAAAGAAGAACAGATCCTGAGAGAAGAATAGAAGAGGAAGCGATTGGGGAAAGGTAAGTTTGTCATTACAGTGCTACTTTAAATAATACAATTTATCAAACCTAATGTAAATCACATAAACATCCCTAATATACATTATCAAATATAATGAAGCATCCTGTAGCAGCCTAAAATTAGATGTTTTTAAAAAGGGGGCTTCACTTCTAAATGTTGTTATTATTTATTACTGATATTTATAAAGCACCAATGTATTCTGCAGCGCTGTACATTTAGAGGAGAACGTACAATATACACAGACATATACAAAAGGTAGAGAGGGCCCTGCCCGTAAGCTGAGATCTAGCCATTTAAGCTCTTTTATACAAAGTGCGTAGCTAGATAGTCGTGAGTTTACAATCTAAAGGATATAATGGGGATTTGAGACAAGAGGTAGCAGGGAGAATTTAAAGCGGCACTGTCATGCCGAATTCTGTTTTTTTTTTAACCCCCCTTCCGCCTCCACTACATCCAATTGACCCACTAGTCACCCCTAAATGCCCCTAAGCCCCCCACATTACCTATTTTTAAATCCTTATTTTCTGCCCCGATCTATATTCAGGGCGCAGCCATCTTTGTGTGGGTAGGTGAAGTCCCTGTGGGACACGTCATCAGCCCACACTAGGCAGACACTGAGATTCCCGCACATGCCCAGTGAAACACCTGGACATGCGAACGGGAATTTCATCTATTCATTCATTCATCAGACAGACGAATGAGTGAATAGAAAGATCAGCCGAACAAACAAACACAATGTATCAGTGTATCTGTTTGTTCGTTTGCAGTTTATTACAAGGAGGGAGCTACCGGCATGCAGCTCCCTCCTTGTAATATGTAACTATAGAAGCGGCAGGGAGCAGTGCTCCCCACCACTTCATAAGCCCCCCAGTACCCCTCTCACTCTATGGGGGTCAATATGACCCCCATAATAGCACAAGGGAGATAAAAATCTCCCAAATGCCCCTACTCGCTATACCGCGAGTAGGGGCATGTCCACTAAACAGTGAGCAGCCTGTGGCTGCTCACTGTAAAAAAACAACAACAACAAAAAACAACTATTGGCCCCCACCCCTAAACAGTGAGAATGAGGGGG